GCAGAGCATTTGTCACGACGGTCTCTAAACAGCAGATCAGATAATAATAATCATTTGGAAGAGATCAAGGAAAAACAACCGCTCGAGGAGGTCAATAATCAGAGTAAACTTGAGTCATTGTTATCGAGTGGAAGAAATTCGCACGACGGCGGCATTCATGTTCGGCAGAGTATCAATAGCCGCGGTAGTGGCATGAGTCGAACTTCGAGACCCTCCTTTTCCAACAAATTGCGCACCTCGATATTTAGTGATGCCAGTTCCTTTATTGACGAATGGTCAAGCGCCGAGTCCAGTGCCCAACGTGGAAGTCTTGAGCACGAAAAGCAACGAGTATCCCAATTGCTGGATGAACTGGAAGCGTACGAAAAGGAGCTGTCGCAGGGGCATTCTGATTCTCAACTGGAACGAGAAGCATTGGAGTTTGAACTTCAAAAGCAGACAGACAGGAATCAAGAGCTGGAAGCTATGATTGCCGAGATGGAGGCAAAAATGGAAGAATTAGTATCAGCTTTGCACAATCAGGAAGATGATCAGATGCTCCTTGTCGAAAATGAAATCCTCAAGAAGCGACTGGAACAGAAGGAATCTGCAATGCTGAGCATGTCTTCCATGCATTCGATTAATAACCGATCGTACTCGAGCGACTTGCCCTTGGTGGAAGAAGACGATCTGAATACGCATCTATCCGTCGACACTGATGGATCGGACGACGAAGGCTTTGAGAAGCCATCGGCCAAACTTCAAGGAGATTTGCTTCAATCTCGGGCAAAATTGGCAGAGAAGGATCGAACCATCAAAGCGCAGGCCGAAGAAATTCAATCTCTTCGACGTGAATGTGAGGATTACAAGGATGATGAGGCGCGAGAGAAGATGAAATCATACATCGAGGGGTTGGAAAAAGAGAAGAAGTTCTTTGTAGCCGAGATTGCAAAGCTGAAAGAGGCCAATGAAAAGGCTGCCATAAACATGAGCTCTTCGTCGACTTCGCTCCTACCGACATCTTCACTTCCTCGGCAATCAATCAGCTCGCTTGGCATGGCTTCATTGACCGAAGACGGCACTACTAGTACAATGGACGATTCCATGTCAACAGAAGATGTTCCCTTTTTGCCATGGGGCGGAAGTTATCAGAACGTTAACAGTCGGGTCTCTAATACCTCCACTTCGGCTTCGACTCAAAACGCCACGAGCCAGAATCGAAGGCAATCGGCTTCCGCATGGCGAAGTTTCAGCACAAGACTCTTTGGAGGAATTGAGGAAGTTGACGATGCGCCGCTGGAGGAACAAACAGAAGCCGACAAGATGCTGGACGACTTGACGAAAGATATGTAATGTAATGTAACGTAACGTAATTGATTGTTGATAAGAAACTATTGGAATACATTGTAATTTGACAACCTATAGCACTGACACGATTTTAAATAGTCTCCATATTGAATTAATCTACAACAAATTGTTTCGAACAACCTCACATACACACAAAGAAATGTTAGGGACGCATTCCTGCAATAAAAGAACAGAGGAACTGCCAACCGCAAGGCGCCATCCTCCCACGATTGAGGATCATTTTCATTCAACCGTCATCATGAATCACACAAAGGCTCAATGACACAAGTTAAGTGGATAACTCAATATCCACCCCAGCCATCATCGGCGGAATTCGTTGGTGTACATCCTCCTCGCCTCGTTGTTTCTTGCTGTGCTTGTTCATCATTTTCATTCAGCAGCCATCCTGAATTACAGAGAGGCTCAATGACACAAGTTAAGTGGATAGTTCAAAATCCAATCCCAGCCATCATCGGCGGAACTCGTTATAGCACGTCGTTCTCGCTTTCGTGTTGTAGCTTCTTGTTGTGGTTGTGATTCTTCCAGAACGTACTCGTTGTTCAGAAAAAAGTGACCAAGATTCTTGCACTGGCACGATTCCGTGAGTGCATCCAGATGCGTCCTCGTTTGAAAGACACAGCCAGTGCAATCAAAGCTGTGCAGTGTGGGATGCATCCGTATCGCATTGATGAAATCCATCATCTCGCGATCACTTCCAAGTAATCGAATCTGAACCAGGCACAGTGCTAGCAGTGCACCTGATTTGCCGCTGAGCAACGAAGTGACTGCTTTCAGCGGTGGAATGTTTCGTCGCCTGCCAATTTGTGAGTGGCCACTTGGGGATTCGGCGTAGTTGGAACCGCTAATGGTGATGGACCGGACATCTGGCATGTCTCTGGCAATCACTTGAAAGAGCTCCACCAATCCTGCTTCATTCAAGATACTCTCGTCGTTGTCAATGTTATCATTATCTGGGAAAATGATCAAGATGCTGTGAATGTTCTTGCTCTGTCTCACAACCTGGCTTGGCTTGAGGCCATCCTTGTAAGGGCTTATGCACAGCGATCCGCCTGATGTTGTTATGAAAACCATTGCTTATCTGTTGCCGGGCTGGATACCAAGGAAATAGCAGTGTAATAATGTAATACTGTAAGCAAACTGTGCACTAGTGCTGTGAGAGCCAAAAAGTATCTGCAAGAAACAGTTTCATACGGTGCGCGTTATGAAAGCCTTGGATTGAACCTCACTTAGAATAATGGTGGGAACTACTACTCTATTACGTTGTGTTGTGCTTCATGTGATTCAATGCGAAATTTCGTGAGACGGCGACCAACACTTAGGCACAAGAAGCTAATTCAACGGACGATGGCCGATGATCATTTAGGCTGAATCCGATCGAGCCGTGCTGCCGGTCCGTAAGCAACTGACATGAGTTGACACGTACGCGCCGTCCAACAGTTCTGAATCAATCAGTCGAAACAGTCGAAGATTCTCCTGCGTCGGAATTACAATTCCATTCTGTTCCGAAAGCGGAATCCGGAATCATCAACAACGGGCAATATGCAGTTATTGCCATCACCAATATATCTCACAAAAATGTCACGCACATTAGGGGTTGTCAATGAACCCAACCCAACTCTTTTTCTTTTTTTTGGGCAGCTGTGATTGGTCGAGCCAAAAAAAAAAATAGTTGGTTTGGGTCAGAAAGAAAAAAATAGTTGTGCCGAAAAGAGACCCAACTATATTATAGTTGGGTCTTCAATGACCCGGAGATAATTGATTCGCGGGATAAAAGATTTACAATTCTTGTCCAATGTTTTAGATTTATCGTGTGGAACAGTTCAATTTTGAGTAAACGTAGCCCAAACTTAAACAAAGAATAGTTGGGTCATGCTATTTTTCGACGAAAAATAAGTAGGCAAATATATCTACGAGATATCGTACGTCTCCCTAAACTACCGGCTTTTCCCCAAAAATAGTTGGTTCGTGGCTTCAAAGGGGGTGGTCAAATATCGGGAAAAATACTGCCCTTCTATTGGTCAATAAAAATAAACAAAAAATAGTTGGGTTGGGTTCATTGACAACCCCTATTACACCGTACGCATATTCATCTGATAACCTTTATCAGACGATGACGATGACGATGATGAGCCAAACAAGTTACAACCGACTCACAGCCAATTTGACCCTGAGTTGCATCATAATATTTTCACTTCTAGCTTCTCCTGGGTCAGCATTTGTAAATCTTCCACAATCAAGATGCTCTACTGCGAGTAGGTTCAGCTGTCATCATTCTTACAATCATAATCCTCATCAAACGCCATTCTTCGGTGTTTCCACCAGATTAAGAAACTTTTTTCTAAGGCAAAGTTCAGATCCAAATGAAGAGGAATCTACGAGAAATCCACTCCAAACATTCAAGAACAAAAATCCAATACTAGTGAAAAAGGTTTCAGCACCAGCGCGAACGATATGGTCAGGAGCAAAATTCGTTCTGCGATTCAAATGGACGATTGTCCTCCTTCTCATCTTGCTTGGAAAGCGGTTTTCTAGACAAGCGACACCATATGCAGTGCCAATTCCAGCTTGTCTACTGGCAGTATGCGGTACCATTTTGGTCGACCTGAACAAGAGGACGACCCAGATCCAACAAGAAGATGAGGACAAAGACTGGACTCCCCTTGCTCAATCCAAAGCAAGGTTATTCTGGCAAATTCCGATGCAAAGAAAACGGAAAGAGACATCCAACGACTACATATATAGACAGGATGAATCCTCGAAAAAGTTCGCATCATCAGATATTCGACAAAAGTTTACAAACTTCATGTTTGGACTGAGAAAAATGTCCCGATACATGGTCGAGAAGACAACTATATATGTATTGGAATGCGAGAATGGCAAGTATTATATTGGGAGTACCGTAAATATGAAGCGGCGGATGCAACAACACTTTGATAATAGTCGAGGTGGGAGCGTATGGACCAGGAAATATAAGCCCATTCGGGTGGTCAAGGTTTACAAACGCATTCCGTATCGGTACAAGCTTGGGTTCGAAGCACAAGTGACCGCCGAACTCATGTGGGAAAAGGGCATCAATAATGTCCGAGGCGCCATGTATCTATACTCTAGAGAGTATAATGCCAAGGATATTGACTCGTTGGTGAGTTTCATTGGCCACTACAACGATTTGAGCTACACCTACGTTCGGCAACAACTCTTTAAGGAACTATCAGGACGAGGACGCCAAGTTGATAATGCTAAAACTAGAAGGAAGGAGCAACGGAAGCATCTCCAAATTGAATACCAAAAGAAGACGGAAAACAATAATCACGATGATGAGAGATATGAAGCATCGCAATGTAAAGATGACAAGAATAGTGGACCCACCACAGATACAGACGATGAAGATGATACCGGTGATGACCGGTACAAAGCAATGGATGCATGGCTGAACAGGAATATTGATGAATGGTAATGAGTATTATAATCAAGCGACATTGACGAGCCACTAAAGTAGGCTATGTATTCATTATTGCTACTGATTCCATCATCGTAAACCTGAGTGCATACGGCCATTAGATTCATTGATTCCTGCACGAATTTGCAGTACCAATTATACTCGCATTTACTCCCAAAGCAAGTTTTGCTCTCGGAGAGTCGCTAGCTCTTGCCGCAAGTCGACAAACTTTTGCCACAATAGCCAGCAAACCGCAGCTAGTAGAACAATCATCAAATTCAATATGGGATCGTACACCCAAGACAAGTTTGATTCTTCAACAACAGCAGCACCCGCAGCAGCTTCTTCATTGACACGCCCTGTAACATCAGGGACGTTTTCTTGCGCAATACCAGCTGTTGTGACTCTGGCACCTGGGTCTCGGGATCCATCATCGCCATCCAGTAAACCAATAGTTTCCGTAGTATTTTCATCACCAGTCGCGGTTTCTACATGCACGGAAGTTGCAGTAGCATTACTGGCTGTGACATTACTTTGCTCCAGAGAGGGGACAGCTGCTGCACTGGACTTTGGCGACGGGGCTGCGGCGGGTTTCTGGTCGTCCGAGGCACTGGTGCTTGTAGCAGTAGTCAATAAGGATGCCTTCGGATTGTCGGAAGCCTTGGAATCTCCAGAAGATTCTTTCGCATCCTTCTTATCTTCACCTTCCTCGTCTTCCTTCTTTTTGTCGGAAAGTTGCTGAAGTTGTTGAAGCTTTTCAATTTCCTTGCTGAACCGATTTGCCTTTTGCTTCTTGTGTGGGTCCAATTTTGGCAAGAGCGCTTCAATTTTTCCACAACCTGGGCAGCAAAACTCGCGACTCTTTTTGGCCAACCGCTTGCGTTCCTCCGAAGACCAATCAAGGGCACCTACTGCACCATCTGCAGGTGTGGGCATGAAACTGATCAGAGCTTCCAAGATCAGACGAACCCCCCAGGCAGGTTGCCACAATTCAGGATGATAGGCCGAGAAGGAGAGACAGATCTTCTTGTGGGTTTCAAAGCGTCCCGAAGGGGTCATAAAGAGAATATGAGGAGGCTTGAATGGATATTCTGGTGGAAGCTGCATAGTTTTTTTCGCAATTAGATGTACATGTGCGGTAGCAGGAATAAGTAATTAATGATGCAATATCCATAGTCATGGTGAGTGCGATGATCCAAATTGTCGAATTGGCATGAAAGGACGAGAAGGGAGAGAAATATCAGTGAGATCCAAGCCAAAAAAAATGGGCAGACAACAATCCACTCAAGATATGGTAGAGGTAGTATTGAAAGACATTTTGCGCAGCAGCATCACATTGCATCGCATCGCATCACAATCCGATACGATGGATTCATTCGACAGCGTCACCGCCAAAATTAAATCAAACGCGTGGCAATAAAATTGCAGTGATTCATATTATATTCTCAATCAAATGGAACCTTTACAAGCCAAGTCGCAACATCACTATTCACACAATATACTGATCACACTCACCAGAATACGACCATGGTAAATACCGCCTTCAAAATCAGTATCATCAGCTCCTCTTATCGTAAAGTGCCACTCAAACATGTCATGTTCTAAAGGATGCGCGTAATAGCGATCAGAGGGATCCAAGGCCAATTCACGGATATCAGCTTGAATGCGACGAAGCGAGGGTGATTTCGACATGATGGGTTTCAGTCAAAATGAGCAACAGCAACAGCAACAACAGAAATGGACAGTTCAAGTCAATAATAAGGCAAATAATAATGCAGTACCGGTAGATCTTGCAAGATTGAATATGCGATGAATCATCATCATCAGCACCCAAACTGGTCCCCCGAATTTCAAAATGCGGTAACCGAATTCTTTCGAATTGATCGAATGTTCCGACTGTCAGACGCGCACAAGCGCGCCACAGATTCCGTTGGATGCTAGATACAAAAGAGAAACCAGATACGGGTATACCGGTAGAGCAGGGTAGATGAACTGAACTTGTACCGGTATAAAACGCATGCCATCATCGACCTTCTACTTTTATCATTCCACTTACACACAACATCACCTCGCATACCATTGAACCAATCCACTACTCCGAACATTGACTCAGCTCACTCACGCGCAGTTTCTTTGAAATCCTCCAAGCCTTCGCATCTTCAGTACTATACAAGCATAAAAGCAACAAATAATCCTTTTTTCAAGAAATCATGGTGGGAGTCGCTGCGGCATCAAGGAACAATCGGGCTCCTTCCTCAAGTAAAATCACGCAATCCCAAAGATCCCATCCATCCCATAGAAGCTCGCCATCCCATAGAAACTCGAGTGAATCTGCATTTGCACCTTCTCACGGGCAATTACTAAACGAAGTTCATGATTCCGAATATGACTCAATAAGACCTACGCTGACTCGTAAAAATATCGAACGAAGCTTTCGAATTTTGGAAGACACTAGACGGCAGCGCAAGTTTGAAGCCAAAGTAATGTTCAAGGAATACAGCCTTTACAACAACAAGGAACAGATGAAGGTGGATCAGCTGCGACCATACATGGCTCGTGTCTTCGGCACCGATCAGAGTGCATTCGAAGAAGAAGCTGTGAAATTGGTATTGGAAGAAGCAAAGAAAAAGTCTCGAGACGGAGAAGACGATATTCTGACGAGAAGTGCCGTGGTCTCGGCAGTGATCAAGTACGGAGAATATGTACGGCACTACCAGACCATTCATACGCTTTTTCAGGCATCGGATTGGTCAAATGATGGAAAGCTGCAACGACAAGAGCTTAGAAAGTTAATCCAGAATTACGAGAGCAGCCAAACGCGGAACACCGAAACCGTCAAGAACGTATTGTTGTTTGTGACGGAACAAGATTTGAATTTCATTTTGAGGATGGCCGACGAAAACAAAGATGGTGACATCGACCCCACTGAAGTCATGCGTGCAATTGGTGTTTGGGAAGAGCTGGCGGCTGTCAAGTTGGACGATTTTGACAAAATGAACTACAAGTGCTGCCACAAGAATTGCACGATATCATAACGTCCAGTTGCTGCATGGCGCCAGAATGAGCATGATTTCCATTTAAAATAGAACAGCGCTGCTACAAGAACAAGAGTAGCTAGTAGTAGCCTGCATCCACGATAGTGCTTTTGATCCTCATACTATCAAGACTGTTACTACTTTTAGAACAGCAGCAATAGTACGTTTTCCATCGTTTATAATAGGAGTGCCGATAGATATAGTACCTTTTGGTATCGAACATTTGCAATACACAATAACATACCATAGACAATCGTCGGTCAAATGAGTCGATTAAAATAAACAAGCGAAGTCAATCAAAGCACGCGTACCAGGTATAGGTACACGTGTACGTGTACCTGGTACGTAAACAGAACTGAAATGCGCGCGGCGGATGGAGACACGATTCGAGATAAGGTCTGTTCGAAACACATTTTACCATATTCTTTTTTTCTTCGCGGTTATTATAATACCGCTACGAATACTACTTCGTCCTTCTCCATTATTATCACAACGCCCGATCGCATTCAGTCTATATCGAGCGTTGCGATCGTCTCTGAACTGCCAAGTCTCGACCACCAACTTGAAAAGCATTGTATCATTGGCCGACTGCTAGCTCAACGAAAAGTCTCGTTTTGAAATCAATCATCCCTATATATTATCTTTCTCTTCTTTGACACCAACTACCAAATACTTATATCTATCAAACCCCTTGATTTTCGTTGAATTTCTACTTCTTCCATTTGACTAATCATGGCATCTGGATCAGCTGCCAACTCTTCCATTCGACGACAGCGCGCAATTGTGAAGTCATCCCCACGCTCTTATTATCACAAGAGGACACAGCACGAGTCGAACGAGGAGGAGGAGGAGGAGGACCTAAAGGAATACGATTCCGAGTTTGGCAGTCAACCAAAGCTGGGAAAGAAGCATATACAACGCAGCATTCGACATTTGGAAGACAACAGGAGAGAACGTCGATTTCATGCCAAAGTGATGTTCAAGGAATTTGCTTTGCCAGGTGATGCTGAGAAAATGAAAGAGGATCAGCTGAAACCTTTTATGGCCCGAGTGTTGAATACAGCACAGAGCGATCTCGAGAAAGAAGCAATGGAACTTGTATTGCAAGACGCAAGGGAAAAGTCTCCAGATGAAGAAGAAGGAATACTTACCAAGAGCGCGACGGTGTCGGCACTCGCCAAGTACGGTGAATTTGCACGCCACTGCAAAACGATTCAGAAGTTGTTCAAAGCATCGGATCATTCACGCGATGGTAAGCTGCAACGCCATGAGCTTCGAAGACTGCTTGAGGAATACGAAAGGCACAAACACCGAAGTACACATTCCTGCAGCCATGTGGTACTCTTTGTGACGGAACACGATTTAGATTTTGTGCTACGATCAGCCGACGAAAACCACGATGGTGACATTGACCCCAATGAAGTGGTTCGGGCGATCGGTGCATGGGAGGAACTAGCAGCAGTCAAGATTCACGACTTTGAAGATGTGAAATGCTGCAAAGGATGCATAATTTCATAGGTACTTACTTCACTTCGTGACAACCCAGGTTGGATGACTAATGGACTTGATGTGGAGAGGGGCCAACAAAGCTATGCCCTTCTCAGTAATATTGAGAATGGTGGCATCATCAAAACAGTTTTAAAAATGAAATGGATGCTATTGTCTTGGGCTACAAAGATGGATTGGTGTTATGGTGGATTCGAATGGTCCCAAATTGGGCAAGTCGTCGACGCACGATATAGGACACGTATCACAGTATCGGTATACCCTACTATCTAACAGGATCAATTTTCGTATGCTTTCTTGCTGATGCACGCTCTGCCTGACCTGAAATGTCGAGTGGTATTGGCGGTCGTTTTCATGACCTAGAGCTTGGAATGGTTTTGAGCTTGGAGTCCCAGGTTATCATCCATCAGATCCGGAGCGTGGAGTGCATGAAAAGATGGGCAAAGTATGAAATAATGCTTTCACTTGTGTTTCAATAATTGTCTATAAGTTAGATGGGATAAACACAGAGAATCCCGTCAAAGCAGTAGTCATTATGCAACTTGAAATCTGTGGATGCCAGTGCAACTCTCTGAATTCTTGCGATCCCGAGTGGCAAAATAGCAATTGCGGCGGAATGTCTGCCACCAATGTCTTGGTCGTACTGCTGGCCTTGTTGGCATCCTCTAAATCTTCTTCCACACTCAAGTCGTAAATGTAGGCTCCGACAGTGTCACTGGCAGCCAACATTGACTCGTCGGTTGGGTGCCACTCGACCGACGTGATCGGTGTTTGATGGCAGGTGAATCGCGCCAAGGGAGCCATGGCCTTATCATTCTGTTGCGAAAAGTTTCGCAAATCCCATACACTCAAGGTTCCATCGTCGCCTCCAGTCGCCAGTAGATTGCTCACCAGTTTGTTCCAACTAGTGACATTGACATCGGATTTGTTCTCGTGAACACAAGGACGAAGCATGGCCCTGTTGGGGGCTCGGGTATCATAAATGGAGATATGACCACCACATTCAGCAGTTGCAAACACCGTGCCTTCCGTCGGACTCCATTGAATGTCCTCAACAGCTTCGCCTCCTTGGCTCTCGTATGAGGGAACGACCTCATATCCACCTTCCGGACGGGGCGTCCAATAATGAATCTTTCCGTCATTATCACCTGATGCAAAATGACCTTTCTTTACCAAACTCCAGTCCATGGCGTATCTAACCAACAGATTGATGTCAGAACAATAATGCAGTAATGATAGTGACGATGGCAATTGATGACGATAACTTACCCCTCTGCTCCATGACCCGAATGACTAAAGAAAGGCTTCTGACATCCAGCACTGGAGTCTCTCATACTTCTTCCTTCTGATGCCAGGAATCTTGAGCGAATGCTCTCGACGTTGAAGAGGTTGACAGTTCCAACATCACTCCATGTCGCAATGATATCAGATTGCTGAGGCATTGCCCGCAATCTATTGACACCCCCATAATGTGGAACATGATAATGCTCCATGATTGGATCCAAATCGACATTCTCCTCTTCGTCGGAAGAAGAGCTGTCGTCTTGTTTGTCGTACTCGTCGCCAAGAATATCCTCCTCCTCTTCTTGTGGCATTTTAGATAGGTCACTCAGCTTCATGATAGTCAGTCTATTATTGTCTGGTCTGTCTGCTTGAGTTCCAATTGCAGCTTGCATGGAGTGGGGGAATCTTTGACGAGCATCGCCGAGATCGTCACGCAAAAAGTCAAAACTAAGTGCTGGCCATTCAGGAGACAGGGTATGATACATTTTGTAGGCAGACGGATCCATTTCCAGAGGCCCATCATTAGGAACTCCCATGAGAGGGTGCCACGATTGCACCAATTCCACATCCTGATTATCAGCATCCTCCATTTCTTCTTCACCATCATCGTCCATCACCTCTTCTTCTTCGATTTCATCAATGTAAGGATCTTCGAATCTTAAATTTTCAGCAGTTTCTTCATAGTCCTCTTCTTCTCTTTCGGAGGGAGCCGCTCGTTTGGCTTCTGACTTTTGATTCAAGCGGCGTTTGGATTTCTTTCCCATGATTTTTTTGTATATTGTCGTTGTCACTATTTAGTGTATAGTGTACGATGATTTGAATGGGAATCTAAAAAATAGAAAAAGCGAATGGATGGAGATATCAGACGACGGACTAGGGCCAGACGTATCCGCCGAATCGATTTGGAATCTTGAATCTTGAGATATGTTCGAAGAAGCTCGCGCCTACCGGTATGACTGACGCTTATTACTTGATAATAATAAAATCAATCATCGCATTTCATTCGCCGCATACGCACGATAAGATCGTATTATAGTACATATACATTACAGTTATCAACCCTACGAATACACTCTGTACTCTATCAGATACAATAGGACTGCAATACAAATCAAGAACACAAGACAGTCACAATGGCCACCAGCAACAAAATATCAGCCGAGACATCGAAGAGAATATGCAATCACATGAACGAAGACCACGCAGCTACTGTTTACGCCATGGCCATTTCCACACTGCCCGTTATGCAACAATCGAATGCTAACCTTAGTGTCTCCGATGCTCGCATGACGTCCATTTCCTTGGCTTCCGCGACAATCAAGTTTGTGACCTGTTCTGGTGACTTGTGCCAACAGAAGCAAGAGATAATACCTTTTGCTCCTCCGCTGAGTTCCGCCAAAGAATCCCGCCCAAGACTAATCGAGATGCATCATCAAGTCTTGTTTCCGCGTCTACATTGGTTCTATTCGGATTCATTTTGTGCGCAAGTCATGGTATTGACTGGCTTATTGATTATTGCACCAATCATGGCATGGAATGGTAGCTTGGGACATTTCGTCAACTTGGACAAAAGAGAATCGATCGTTTACGGATTGAGTGCAGTTTACTTCACGGCTCATTTGGCGGAAGCATTCTATAGCATATACCTTTCGCAATGGAAGCTTAAGCTTGGGCGGTTGTCATCCTTTTGCTGGTTCCTAATGATTTTCTTGGCAGGCCTCCCCATCACGAAGAAACTGGTAAAGCTGAACGAGGTTCAAGAAGAGGCCAGGCAAAAGGCGAAGAAAGGTTGAATAATATATACTGTTGCAGCAAGGATGATGATGTTGAGTTTTAGTTTGGAGAACAACAGCCGTCAGCGTTTTCTGACAAGCAAGCAGACTAGGTAATTTGCTACTTCGCTGCCCATTGTATATTATAATACGATGTTCCATATACCTATGTGTAAGACGACAACACCATACAGTTTTCTAAGCTAGTTGGAATTGCGCGAAGAGTGCAAATACTCATGTGCACACAATTCGACCGCTTTCGTCGTTTGATGCTGTGTTTGATCGAACGAATCAATGAGAACCGTATTCTCCGACATGACACCATACCCCAGAACACGTCATCGTGTCATCAGAACCGACATCATCATCATCATCATTATCATCATCATCATAGAATCAATCCACAACAGTTTGCTTCGTGGAAAAGTAAGTCCTTGCTTGTGATCCAGCCTCATCGAAAGTGATTGAGTTGATCTCATACCTATAGATAGATGCGGAAGTTTTCCAAAGCCATTGCCTCCGTGGCTCTCTTCCACTCGGAAATCTTTAGTTCCTCCCGCTCAAGCGTCGCTGTTGCCTTTACATCTCCTTCCAGCAGCATCAACAGATTCGCTACCAGCAGTAACTTTCAAGCTTCTACTTACCAGTCCGCACGATTGTCTTCCAGCATGTCAGCTTCATCATTCTACGATCTTTCCGGCACAAAGAGTGACGGAACTGACCTCTCCATGGGAGATTTCGAGGGCAAGGTTGTGTATGTCACAAACGTAGCCAGTAAATGAGGCGCAACCCGCCGCGAGTACACCCAATTTCGGAAACTCGGGGAACGGTGGGGTGATGACTTGGCGATCCTGGCGTTCCCAAGTATGGAGTTTGGCGCTCAAGAATTTCCAGATGACGAAGGAGTTCAGAAATTTGCCGCCGAACAAGAGTTCCCTGGTATTCTCATGAAACTTGGAAAAGTCAATGGACCTGAAGCATCTGATATCTGGAAGTTCATGAAGAGTGAGACAGGAGCCCCAGATCCCACTTGGAACTTTAACGGCAAGTTTCTGGTCTCCAAAGACGGAAAAGGTAAGCAACTATGTGCATTCAATTGGACTCAGCAAGTATCACTGTTTCGATCATTTCAAGATGATACTAACCGACTGCTTTCTGGTGACGACACAGTTTCTGTTCCAAGCGATCTAGAGAATGATATCGCATCTTTGATGTAAAAGGCTAAGCATGTTGAATTTGTAGTAAATTTGATGGTTGCCGATAATGACGGAGCGACATAAGACTTCTGAATAGACCACAATACGTGTCCAATGGCAACCATTAGGTAATACTATAAGCAACAATTACATCATTCCTTATTCTTGTCCATCATAATTCAAGATCAGAGTGGGCCATTCACCAACGGTCTTGCTCTAGTTCTCTTTTTATTGTTGATTTATTCCTATAGCCTGATACATGCTATACCGGTAGCTGTTTTGTACTTTTTCTTTCGGTATTTTGGATTCATTTTGCGTACGTATGCCAGACGTCAACCAGTCCGCAACCGATACCTCTTTTAGCGCTACTGTACCTTATTATACCGGTACACGTGTACCGGTATATCTTGAGGAAGTGCGCTGACGCGTTCTTTTCTCTGGTACTTTTCTACATACGGGACTATGAATTTTTTGCCTCTAGTCAATCGGGGGGTGCTCATCGAAGCCATAACATTATCACACTAGACCGAAAAGCAAAACGTTCAAAAGCCGATCCTGATGCTATAATGATTGAATCTGAAGTCAAGGCGTCTAGTAGCAGCACATCAAACGAAGATATGGATGTGGCTAATAGTGAACATGGAAATGAAGAAGAAAAAGAATCTACAGGAAATGAAAGGCTGGTGAAGGACTCTTTACTGCAACAATGGTCAGAGGATGACGATGAGAGTGCCGAAGAGCATCTGACAATGATTGGGAAGGCAAAGGGGTTTCCTGATGCGCAAGCGGTCAATTTTCGTCAAGAGGTGATAGGTGGTGCGGTCGTGGCTGCTTTTCAGGGAAACCAAGACATGATCTCACAAACAAAGAGTACGAACAAGATTACCTCAGCCCTTGCTATTACGTCGTTGAATTTTCTCAAGCATCAGCAGGAACGACTGAAAATTGAAAATGAGAGGGGTTTGGATCGTTTTCTTTCTATCCTGTGCGGCAAAGTCTTGAAGGAGTACTACAAGAGAACAAAGGAGCAAGCTCGATCGCTAACTGTATTATCCGAATCCAATGATCGTATGGTTCCTGTCAACTATCTCATCAGCAAAACAGAGCTCTCTCATTCCTACGATGTTCACAAGTTTGTTCTTCAAGCTGAGCGCGTCGCGAAATGGTTCGATGCATCAAACGATTCTGTTAACGCTTCGGATTACGAAGATGCACCTTACTTTTGTGTCGTACAGTCGAGCGGGATGGGAAAGACCAAAGTAATTTACGAAGGTTGCAAGCGGTTGAAACAAAAGAATAATTGGTCTTGCTATACAGTTTTGCCATGGACACTGAAAGATTCCTATGCGCTGACGACGAAGGGCGACGTTTTCTCTCATAGGCTAAATCTCGAAGCATTTATGGAGGAAAAAACAGCCTTGGATGCTGCAACGGCAGTTCTTGAATACCTGAATACTTTCTACGATAAACTAGTAGCTGAAGCATCCAGTCAACACGATAATGAAAATACCATATTTCTTTGTTTCGATGAAGCTCAGGTATACTTGGAATCCCAAAGGTTTCAGAACGACAAGGGCGCCAAGAACGTTAAGCATCCTGCATTTCTATTTCGATGCATTCGGCTATGGCTTCGGCAGAAGAAACGACATCAGGAAGTGATCGGTTGCTTTTGTGGTACGCTTGCAACCTTGGCAAGCTCCCGGTTGGAGGCTGATCCACAGCTGTCAGTTCCATCATCTCGAGACTTCACGCCGAGTGGCAAGCACTACAACTTCTATGATAAAGGCGCAAAGATGTTTCCAATATTTCTTCAGACAACCACAATGGGCTGCCTCGCGGGTCGAAATTTGGAGGGATATAAAGACTTGGGTAAGCATACGACAGAGTATCGTCATGCGATCCGCCATGGACGACCGCTTTTTGAGCTCATGGAGGAAAATGGAGATCTAGCAAGAAATGAAGGATCAATAGTCCGTCGGATGCTACTGTATGGTCTTGGGAATCACTGGATTGTTGGGAAGGAGTCACTCAAAGCATGTCTCAGTATTTTGGGTACCAGGGTGCAAATGGGCCAAACTTCTTTTCCTGTGGCTTCGGACATGGTAGGCTACGGTTATGCCAACCTGACTCATGCGACTTCAACAGATGCAATAATATGCTACATGCCAGATCCTGTTTGTGGTCGTCTGGCCATGCAACTGATGGACCCAGAATGGGCATTGGGTGACATCAAAGGCAGGCCCAGTAGTTGGTGGCTGCGGAAGATGAAGGAGATTTTTTCGCAAGGGCTCTGTCGACCTGAAAAGGGGGACTTTGGTGAAATCATGGTTGCGCTGTACTTTCTTGTTTGTGCCGATGTGCTTCGGCGACGGGACAATCACAATCACACTACGTTTTCAGTATCTCTTGAAGACTGGATAGAGCAGCTAACAACTGGTGGGCTTGAGAGAAGACAAGGGCATCGTTCCAATGTTGACATTTTGCCAAAGCGGAAGAGCAAACGTCTCCTTGCTGCCAAATCACAGGGCTCAAGACAGAAAATGACTGCTGAGAAAGTGGACGAAACAATGGCTGAAGCTTACGAAGTTGAAGTAGAGGCTAGCATCAGCTTTATTCAAGTTTGTCAAAACTATTTGCGTGCTTGTGAAGCGGACTGGGAAGGATTTTGTTCGCAGGATTTTCTATCATACATGTACGCAAGCGGGACAGCTTTCTACGTATTCCCTGGTTGTCCTATTGTTGACCTTGTCATTCCCATCAAGCTGTCAGGACAAAGGAAACATTGCTTTGCTCCTCTGGTGATCTCCATCAAGTCGCATGCATTCTATTCTCCTGCAGATGCAAGATGGGAGTGCCAGCGGATGACAGAGAGATTCAAGAGAATCGAAGAAAGCAATGACAAGGAAGTTTTTGAATTCTTCCCTGGAGCATTGTGTTTGCTGGTTGTGTTCGGGTCTACCGCTGTCTCCGATGACAACGACCTTACCCTAGGCCATTCTGCAGTCAGGGAGCTGGCAAAGAAGAAGGTGGTTAGCGGAGTACTTCGCATCCCTGCAAAAGATGCATTTGGAGGATTCTGTGATACATTTTGCACATTGACTAGCGAGATTACGTTTGGCACTTCTGAAGTATTTGCTTCCCACTCTTTTGTCCGTGCTTATTGTATGGATGACAACACGGAAGAGCTCGATACTAGATCTGCACTTCGTTATTCGCCTGGAAAAGAAGAATCAGAACTCTTGCAAAATCTTCATGAGCAGTTCAAAAGTGGATACAGCACGTCTGGAAGTCTGTAAGAAGACTTCTGAGCAAAAGTGCACCATAGTTGTTGGACGAATAAACAGCTAGCAGATACTTGGGATATACCCATAACTTTCTAGTGTAGGTCTCACTGTACAGCAAGACGGGGTAATTCTCAGGAACACCCGTAAGAACGAGGTTTTTTGTAGTCTCTCCGAGGATCGTGTCACGCACCCCACAACCCCGATGCTTGACCTTCATCCCAATCTCCCTCCCAAAATCCCCCACTTCAGAACTGGCTGGCATTGGATCTTGGCCAGTGCCAACCAGCTTTGGCCGGCCCGCCTCATTTCATTTTAGTGTCCTTTCTACCCATCCTTACTTTTCTGCAGCCTCCCTCCACCATGACAATGGATCATCAACACTACATGATCTTCCCAATGAATGCTGAAAGTGGGGAGTACAGTTGATCATTCTTGATGTATGAACTAAAGAATGCATTATACCAGAGTCCATCGACCTTGTAAACAAAATTAATATCTATGTCATTGTCCATTTGCTTCCATTCTACTGATGAGGTATGGTGATCTTCCTTTTGTCAGTCATAGTCTCTGTACGAACCTCATCCATTCTCACTTCTTACAATAGTAACAACTCAACAGGACAAGACTCCACACATGTACCCATTGCCTAAGCAAATGCCAGCTCATCTATCAAGCGGCTTTTGATCAATGCTCAAACAGCAGTGTTGATGTTCTGTTGTCCAATGACAAACTGTATTCATATGCTCTTGTTGGAGTATACATTGCTGTGCCAAATGGAGACGGAGCTGAGAATAGTGGCACAACGGTCCAGAACCATACAACCCCATTCTTGTTTAAGCCTTGAAATTGGCACAACAGGACAAAACATTGTCATAGTTAAATGTATCAAGTGTTGAGTGTTGACGTCAACAAGGCGCCAGCAGACCAACACAAGCGCCATGATGCAATTTTCCATGAATTTACTACAGATATCAACAAGAGCAAAGCAGCATCTAACAAATATTTATTTATACAGTATATTTTAAAAGAATACATTGCCCACCAAGGCAGAAGACTTGTGTTGACATTGAACTCCATAGTATCCATTATAATGCATTCTCTACGGTCCATCAAACAGCAATCTAAGTTCCCTCTCCAGATAACAAAAGTGGACCAGCGTCAATCCAGTTCACTAGTGTCAAGCTTCTTGATTCACTTCTGAAAGTTACCAATGTCTTTTGGTCAAAACCTGTTGAAGATGTATTTTGAGATATTTGGAGATTGGAGAATGCGTAGCAGAAACACAAAACAAGGCATTAGACAATGGGTCATCTTGTGTAAGATTGAACAGTGCCTGACAATAATGTGAGAAGTATTGACAAGATCAAAGCAAGATCAATACATAAGGAGAAGTGAGTTGAATGTAGTCATGGCAAGATACCAGATGCTGTGCATGACTGAGAAGCAAGACTAGAAAATAGAGTAAGGAATAATTTAGCTCACAATTGCAAGACCGAAAAAAAAAAAAAAGAGATGAAGAGGATCATCAAGCATGTATTGGATACGAAAGGACTTGGATTGAAAATTGCACCAGTGATTGGATCTAAAAGTTTACTATGGAACGTTGTTGCGTTTTCTGACAGTGATTATGCAGGAGACCCAGATTCGAGAAAATCAGTGAGTGGTTTTATTGTTTATCTATGTGGAGTTCCAATCTGTTGGAGAAGCAAAGCGCAACGAACAGTGACTTTGAGCAGCGCAGAAGCAGAGTGGATTGCCTTGAGTGAAGTGGCAAAAGAAGTATTATTTATTGCACAGATCCTGGAAACCATGGGAGTGAAAGTCGAATATCCGATTGTTATTCGAGTTGATAATACCGCGGCAATTTTCATGGCGACAAATGTCACAACGAACCAGAGAACACGACACGTGGACATTCGCACAAAATTCGTAACACAATACACTGGACCGGATGGTATTTTGAAGATTCTATTTGTGAAAGGAACTGATAATGAATCCGACATCATGACAAAGAATGTAACTGGAAACCTACATGAGAAACACATCCCAAAGATGATGACAAATATCGACGAAGGAACTACAAAATAGGAAGGGTGTTGAAGATGTATTTTGAGATATTTGGAGATTGGAGAATGCGTAGCAGAAACACGAAACGAGGCATTAGACAATGGGTCATCTTGTGTAAGATTGAACAGTGCCTGACAATAATGTGAGAAGTATTGACAAGATCAAAGCAAGATCAATACATAAGGAGAAGTGAGTTGAATGTAGTCATGGCAAGATACCAGATGCTGTGCATGACTGAGAAGCAAGACTAGAAAATAGAGTAAGGAATAATTTAGCTCACAATTGCAAGACCGATAGATTTTTACTTCTAGGGAGATTTCAACACGTTTCGAAACGTCAGATCTGAATTCCAAGAGAAGTTTGATTATCAGTAAGAACAATAAGAGAAAGAGGTGTCTTATCGTAAGCTAGAAGAGAGAGCTGAAATCGATAACGACCGAGATATCGCAATTGTCAAGAGAGAGTGAAAGAGAAAAGATACAAGAGAAAAGAACGAAAGAAGAGAGCAAGATGAGTGAATACAAAGAAAGAACTCCACGATTCCAATTCAGTGGAGAACCTGAAGACTACGATACTTTTGGATTGAAGTATGTAGCAAGAGCTAGCATCAAAAGATTTGATGGAGTAATCACTGGAGACGTGACTCTACGAACCAAACCAGAGATGGATGCTGAAACCGACGCAGCGAAGATCAAGGAAGACGAGGAGATCAAGGAGATGAACATCAAGGCCTTCAGTGACTTGTTGATCAGCATGAACACTGACACGGCAGAAGGAAAGGTCGCTTTCAATTTGGTAGCGGGAAGCAGAGATAAAGTCAACTACCCAAAAGGCAACGCGAAAGAAGCATGGGACAAGTTGAAGGATGAGTATGAGCCAAAGACGATCACCTCGTACATCAAGATGAAGAGCAAGCTAAACAAGTGTCACCTTGAGAAGTTTGCTAATCCAGCTTCATGGATCACCGAACTCAGCAAGATTTGTGTTCGTTTGGAAGAGATGAAGCACCCAGTAAGTGAAGAGGACCAATTCATTCACATCATTGGAAGTTTGCCTTTGAAGTACAGACAAGAGCAAAAGGACTTCGAGAAAATGATGAAAGCGAACACTCTCACCATTAAGTACATCAAGGAAGAACTGAATTCTGCACACGAGGACTTCGCCAACGCAACAGAAGGAGACGACGACGACGAAGACAAGGAAGACAAAGATGTCGCTCTGGTTACTGGTCAATTCAAAGGCACTTGCAACAACTGTGGAAAGTATGGACACAAGAAGCTAAATTGCCCTGAACTAACACCAGCAACTCGACAAGGAGGCAACAGGAACACGAACAACGGTAACCGAAACCGACACAATGGGGGTGAACGAGGACCTTTCCTTGGAACCTGTTTCCATTGTGGTATCAGAGGTCACAAGAAGCATGAATGCAGAAGAAACCCAGAGAACCGAAACAGCGGAAACAACAACAACGGCAGCACCAACAACGATGATGTTGCTGAAGTTATGTTGATGGCAACAGAGTCATTTATTGCTCCAGACGAGCCCACAAAGAAAAAGAACGTCTGGTTTGAGTGGAATGAAGAATGTGAAGAGAGCGAAGAGAGCGACGATGAGGATGAAGACACTGCTGACGAAGTGATTGTGCATACCATCGTGGAAGATGCAAACGATAAAGTTCCCGAGCACGGAAATTTCCTTCACGACGATTTCTTTGATAATTTTATGGCGAACTTTGGACAAAATGATTGCGACGCGAAAAACGACGAGACATTCCGCGCGACAAAGCCTACAAGTGAATATGCCTTTGTCACAGAAGAGATTGAGATCACACGCTATTCTGACGTTGATGGATCAGGTACATACGATTCAGATGGGGACGAGATCCCACAACTAGTGGAACGAAAGATGAATGCTAAGCACTATGCATCAGACGAATGGGACCACGATAATGGAATGCCCGGATACGACACCGACTCCGACGACTCTGACGATGATGACATTCCACCATTTTTGGTCAACCGACATGGTGTTGTCCATGGACATGATGAGGTACCATTGATTGACGGGCACGACAACATCTCTGATGACGACTCAACCTACGACGCGATCCCTCAATTAATCGCACGACGACAATACGATAGCGATGACGACGATAGCGATGATGACAATGACGACTCACCTCATAACGAAGATGAGCCATACTTCTATGATGATGATGGAGATGATGAGTCGACAGTACAGACTGAAACAAGCCTCCAAGATGAGATCACTTCGACTCTCAACGGCATCGCAATGGCCAACATGGATAAATGGAAATCCGAGGAGATGAAACTGACACCGCACACTTGGTTTGGAGACAGCGCAGCAAGTACACATATGTGCAATGATGACACAAACCTGTATGACTATGACGTCATTCGAGAAGAGATCAAGGTTGGAAGTGGAAAAACTATTGTGGCTACTAATATCGGAAAGCTCAAGCTGCGGGTGAAGCAAACGAATGGAAAGGTCGTGATGATGGTGCTAACACAAGTCAAATTTGTCCCGGAGCTGTGGTGTAACCTTTTCAGCCTTACGGCCGCGATGGACAAGGGTTTTGACCTAGGAAACCAAGGGCGAATCATCACAGTGACGCATGGACCGACAACTATCGGTTTTGACATGGTAAGGTTATGGGATCGAGTCCTCGATTCACATTTCCCTTGTTGATTTTAGAAATGAATGCCGACTGTCTGCATCGACAGGATAAAGATGGACGTGTGGGGTTTCGGCACCAGAAATGGGTGTGCGAGGCTGAAGGGCTATATCTAAGTATCAAATAAGGGAGGATGTTGGAACGTGTATTAGATACTTAGAATTGGACTAGTCAGATTAAGGTAGCCTGGTAGGCGCAGCGGTTCGATTCCGTAATACCTTATACTTGCCATGACTACATTCAACTCACTTCTCCTTATGTATTGATCTTGCTTTGATCTTGTCAATACTTCTCACATTATTGTCAGGCACTGTTCAATCTTACACAAGATGACCCATTGTCTAATGCCTCGTTTCGTGTTTCTGCTCCGCATTCTCCAATCTCCAAATATCTCAAAATACATCTTTAACAAAAACCATGCAGGATGGACGCCTTTGCTTGAAAAACACTTTTTTTTCAATCTGTTTTTCAATCAGTTTTTCAACAGCTGGTTTGCAGCTTTTGCAGCAAAGTTCACTAGTGTCAAGCGTCTTGTTTCATGTCTGACCGTTACCAATGTCTTTTGGTCAAAACTACGCAGGATCGGACACCTTTTTTGTTTTGCCATGGACACTGAAAGATTCTTATGCGCTGACAACAAAGGGCGACGTTTTCTCTCACAGGCTAAATCTCAAAGCATTTATGAAGGAAAAAACAGCCTTGGATGCTGCTACGGCAGTTCTTGAATACCTGAATTCTTTCTACGACAACCTAGTAGCTGAAGCATCCAATCAGCACAATAATGAAAATATCATATTCCTTTGTTTCTAAGCATACGACAGAGTATCGTCATGCGATCCGCCATGGACGACCGCTTTTTGAGCTCATGGAGGAAAATGGAGATCTAGCAAGAAATGAAGGATCAATAGTCCGTCGGATGCTACTGTATGGTCTTGGGAATCACTGGATTGTTGGGAAGGAGTCACTCAAAGCATGTCTCAGTATTTTGGGTACCAGGGTGCAAATGGGCCAAACTTCTTTTCCTGTGGCTTCGGACATGGTAGGCTACGGTTATGCCAACCTGACTCATGCGACTTCAACAGATGCAATAATATGCTACATGCCAGATCCTGTTTGTGGTCGTCTGGCCATGCAACTGATGGACCCAGAATGGGCATTGGGTGACATCAAAGGCAGGCCCAGTAGTTGGTGGCTGCGGAAGATGAAGGAGATTTTTTCGCAAGGGCTCTGTCGACCTGAAAAGGGGGACTTTGGTGAAATCATGGTTGCGCTGTACTTTCTTGTTTGTGCCGATGTGCTTCGGCGACGGGACAATCACAATCACACTACATTTTCTGTATCTCTTGAAGATTGGATAGAGCAGCTAACAACTGGTGGGCTTGAGAGAAGACAAGGGCATCGTTCCAATGTTGACATTTTGCCAAAGCGGAAGAGCAAACGTCTCCTTGCTGCCAAATCACAGGGCTCAAGACAGAAAATGACTGCTGAGAAAGTGGACGAAACAATGGCTGAAGCTTACGAAGTTGAAGTAGAGGCTAGCATCAGCTTTATTCAAGTTTGTCAAAACTATTTGCGTGCTTGTGAAGCGGACTGGGAAGGATTTTGTTTGCAGGATTTTCTATCATACATGTACGCAAGCGGGACAGCTTTCTACGTATTCCCTGGTTGTCCTATTGTTGACCTTGTCATTCCCATCAAGCTGTCAGGACAACGGAAACATTACTTTGCGCCTATGGTGATCTCCATCAAGTCGCATGCATTCTATTCTCCTGCAGATGCAAGATGGGAGTGCCAGCGGATGGCAGAGAGATTCAAGAGAATCAAAGAAAGCAATGACAAGGAAGTTTTTGAATTCTTCCCTGGAGCATTGTGTTTGCTGGTTGTGTTCGGGTCTACCGCTGTCTCCGATGACAACGACCTTACCCTAGGTCATTCTGCAGTCAGGGAGCTGGCAAAGAAGAAGGTGTTTAGCAGAGTACTTCGCATTCCTGCAAAAGATGCATTTGCAGGATTCTGTGATACATTTTGCACATTGACTAGCAAGATTATGTTTGGCACTTCTGAAGTATTTGCTTCCCACTCTTTTGTCCGTGCTTATTGTATGGATGACAACACGGAAGAGCTCAATACTAGATCTGCACTTCGTTATTCGCCTGGAAAAGAAGAATCAGAACTCTTGCAAAATCTTCATGAGCAGTTCAAAAGTGGATACAGCACGTCTGGAAGTCTGTAAGAAGACTTCTGAGCAAAAGTGCACCATAGTTGTTGGACGAATAAACAGCTAGCAGATACTTGGGACATACCCATAACTTTCTAGTGTAGGTCTCATTGTACTGTATGTACTACTATGTACCGGAATGTACTGGAACGCCGAGAACTGTAGTCCATTTAGTCAAATCACACGCATTTACCAATTGAATCACGAAATTTTCTTTTTATTTAGTTGTCATAGTCGGCTTGTCACAGCAAAGCCATTGGCCATGGGATGTCAGAAGTAGCGTGCGAAGCGTGATTTCTGATGCCAAATGAAAAAAGAACAACAATCACTCGCACGCCAAAATACTAAAGAAGTTCCCTTTTATCTTTTCTGCAGAACAAGAACAGATGACCAGGCGGCTTGACTGGCTTGTGGGTCATTGGCCCACTGGGCAACTGGTGTTGTGGGCCAGCCGCCCATCCCGTGTGGGCCAGCTGCCCATCTTGTTTAAGCATTGACGCATGCTAACATTACCTGCTTCATTGACCTCATGGCTATGACGGATGTGGCGATGGACTCTCTTGTTTATCCAAGAAGTCAAACACCTGATGATGAAGGTGACTTACAAGATGACCAACTTGCGTTGGTACCACTGTCCATCCGCAGTCTCAACAAGGTCATCCAAGGATATGTGTACTACCACAAACATGACCATAACAATCCTTTCAACCCTGACAACTGCATGGATATTGACTATGGAAGTGTACTTGACTATAGAGCATTTGGAGAGTTCTTAATTTTGGTAATAGAACTATTCCACAACCTATTATCCAGAAACCCAGTTGGCGTACCCCTGCTGATGAATTTGATAGAAGCATCAGACAAGACCTGTCGTCTTTCCCTACTTTTAGCAATGACAAGCAATGGGAAAACTGCAATTGTAATCTTGCAGCCATCTGTTGCACTTAGCGTCTGCAGAATGTCCTTCATCACAAGTACCACCCACAAACTGTTGATGAAAAGGACCTCTTTGACCGTGAGCAGGCGTTCATGTATCAAGTTTTCACCACAACTCTCCTCACTGATAAAGGCAAGCAATTTGTTCCTGAGCATCAAGCGCAGATATTTTTCAATCAACTTGCTGTCCCTTATTTTGATGAGATTCAGAGACTCCAAGGATTCTTGAGATGCACACAGGTAAGGCAATCATTTTTCACGGCTAGGTCACACTGGTGGAATCCATAGCCCAAATGTATGACACTCGCCAAGACTCCAAGACTAAGCATAAGACAAAGTGCAAAACCATATAGTAAAAATATTCAATAATGTATAATATATATGAATGATCCGTATGACGGATCATCTGACGGATCATTTGGGAACATTTTCATGTATGTGAGTTTGACGGATCATTTACAGATCATTTGCGTATCATCTCTGGCCATACCATCCTGTAGAGTCAGGTACTCGACGGATCATTTCCCAGATTGCACTTCACCCTATCCACGAATTTCCAAAATCACCAAAATGAGAATCAAGCATCATATTTTGCTGGAGCTCTTGTTACCCATTCAAAGCCTGTCATACAATGAGGTCTTTTCCCAGTTGAAAGTCAAATAGATGCGAGTATCCCAATTGTTTAAAAATTACAATCAACAAAGGCTCTCATCGAGATATTGTCTGATTCCTTTTTTTGCCAAATGTTTGACTTCAAGCAAATCAGGTGCATGGCCGTGGCTCAAGATCCATGTCAAATCAAAGACTACAATCAGCCAGCAGACCCTACAACAATATCAGGTGGTCCTAACCATCGATTTGGTTCTACGTTTGGGCAAGGATTGATGGTTTGTAAAATACTTTTATACAACAGAGCAGTGGATACAGTTGGAGATGCAAAGTTTTTTATCACAATGGATTTGGACGCAGGCTACTGGCAGATCAAGATGGCTGCCTCATCAAAAGAGAAAACGACGTTCTTTGTACCAGACGGCAAGAAGCACTTCCTAGTGATGCCAATGGGGATACTAAGCGCCCATGCATTCTTTGTCTGTGTAACCATTCAATTCAAGAAGGAATGGCACGAGTTGTACAAATGAGACCCAAAAGCAGCACTACAAAAACTACTGGACATCATCAACAAGCACAGAGCGGCCATCACGCTGATCCTGGGCGAAAGCGCCGTCAAGGACATCGAAGCAAAAGTGGCAATTGCTCTATTAGAAACAGACCCAAACGCATCAGTAATCGTTGACGACATCATGCTTTTCGACACCACCATCTTATCACTGATCGCATACTTTGTAGCCACACTTGAAATCCTCCAACAATACCGAGTGACCGTCAACCTAAGAAAAACGAGGTTCCTACCAGCACGGGCAGAATTTGTGGGACGTGACCTACTGCCCAATGGAAACACCCCGGCACAATCCAAGTACTCGACGATCAAAAAGCTTTGCCCACCAGCATTATACTCGGACATCCAGATGATCAACGGACTATTTGGATGGTACTCCCAGTGGATACCACATCTAGAGGAAAAGATCCAACGATGGAGGAATATGGTGATGGACAAACCAAAGCCCGGAGAATGCACCAAAGAAGAGGAAGCAGAACAAGTGAAAGCACACTGGGAGCCGCAGGACGACAAAACGCTGGACGAACTCAAGCAAGTTATTGTCACAGGACCCATATTGAAGAGACCCAATCCAAAGAGACGATTCTACTTGAAAACGGACTGGTCAAGCAACGCCATGGGAGCGGTCCTCCTACAAGCGGACACGACAGAAGAAGCAGAGGAATCGAAGGAGGAAAATGCAAGTTTGACAAATCAATGTCAAAACTCAGACTCAGACCCATAGCATTCATATCGAGAATATGCAAGGGCAAAGAGCGCGACTACCATTCCTTTGTCGGAGAAGCAGCAACAGGCCGATGGGCGATGAAAAAGTTCAGACAATGGCTCATCGGAAAAGAATTTACATGGATCACGGACTGCAGCGGACTAACCAAGTTCTTTGAAGGCGAATACGACATCACACACACACTGCAACAATGGAAGCTAGAGCTATTGGCATCCGTCTTCACCATAGTTCACCGACCAGCAAAGATGCTCACGGAATGCGACCTTTTGTCAAGATACGAGGGCATACTGAGCACATGGAGAAATACGGAAGAAGCCCACACAGACAACCCGATCATTGCGGTGGCATGGAAACTCAGAGAAGACAAAGCACCGCCATGGCCCAGACAGCACCTACTACCCCCTGTGAAAGGCGACCGGATTACAACACAAACAGAACTAGCGCAAATATGCGACACAGCAAGAGCAACATGGATCATTGGACGATCCCTAGACACTATTGCAGACAGCTTCAAACTATTGGGAGGAACCATCATGCTAACAGCCAGCACCAGCAAGGAGGAATATTGGCAGCTACAACACGAGATACCAAACATTGAAACGTTTGCCAAAAGGCTAGTCAACAACACAGCACAACCGCCAGTAGAATGGTTGATTGTCACCAACATGGAAAAATACAACTCAACAACCTCAGAGGCCCTTCGCACCATCATCAGAAAAGCAACGACACAGGGAGCAACACAATGCATACTCATGTGGACAGGAAAGCCACCCGGCAAGATCATCGACAAATGGGAACAATACATAAAACGACCAGAGACAGAACCGACCTACAAACCGCGACACGCACAGCCAGAGGCAGCACAGCACAAGCAGACATAGACACCAAACACACCATAATACTCACAGCCGGGAGGAGAGTGACGGAGGCATGGAGCAGAAGTTTAGTTGAGGAAGATCCATACGCACAGCCAGGAACGATAGAAAACGCTATGGACGCACCAAACGAAAGCTACACAGGATATTTCAACGTGGCAAGGCTAGGACAAAACAGAGTCCACACGGTCAACTCACAAGGACACACACAAGAACATGAGATCTATGATACCACCAAAATCTCCACCAGCTTCCACACAACACCCATGATCTCAGCACAAGGCACGATAGCAATTGCAACCAACGACGCGGAGGTAGCATCACCGGTCCGAACGATCAGACCCTGGGAAGCCCTCAGCCTGTTCGGTTTCACAAAAGAGGAAAGCAGAAAACTGTTGTTTGAGGAGAAACTCAGTTGCAGAGAGACAAAAGAGACAACGAAGAGCATGGCACCACAGCAGGTGTGGCAGCAAGTGTTCACTTACAGCATGTGCAAAAACATCCAGCGACAACACCTATTGGACAAAATAGAACACAAATTCTTGACAATGTACTCAAGACCAAAACATGCGAAGAAACACCTAACAGCAATAGTCAGCAGATCCATCCACCCATTCACAACGCTACCGATCCCAACCGGAGACGATTGGCAAGAGAAATGCAACGGAGACCTGGACATCAGCCACATCATCAAGGCAATCCGCAACAACAAAAAGGTAGACAGATCAAAGCTCACAAACCCAACGTATGCCTCAGAACTCAACAGAGATAAGCTAGAGATTGAAAACGGCATCCTATACCAATTCGAAGAACCGAAGTCGCCGAAGTCGGCGCCAATGCGTCAACTACGACGAGCGGTCGTCCCACCAAGATTGAGAGCCACAATCATAGCAGCATACCACATATCACCAATGGCAGGACACGTAGGGTTCCACAAGACGTATTACAGGATAGCCACAAGGTTTTGGTGGCCCGGGATGGCAAAGGATATCAGAGAAGCAGTCCTAGGATACGGACATTGCAATGCAGCCAACGCGCCGAGCCACAAAAACCAAAAGATTCTACAACGGACCCCAATCGAAGAACCATTTGACTTATGTTGCATGGACGTTTGGTCGCCAGGATCAACAAAGAACGCTACCAAACTGCCCACAACTTTGAGGAAGACACTTACAAACAAAGGAGTAGTCACTTACGTTTGCAACATGACAGGTTGTGCCACGGTCGCTTTCATCAGCTCCATGGACTCAGGGAACATGGCCAGAATAGCATTCTCGCAATTCTTCACGGTCCGAGGCCTGCCACGATTGATCCTCATCGACGAAGGCAGCGAAAACAAAGATCAATTTACCGCCCTATGCGACACGATTGGAATCGCATACCACACGGTCAGTCCGGAAAACCACGACGGAATACTCTGTGAAAGATTCCACAAATAACTCAACAAGGTGCAACAAATCGGAGCAGCTGACATGAACACTTACAAAGAATGGGCAATGAACACCATGTTTGGAACATATGCATGGAATGCAGCCCCAGTAGATGGCACGGATATCCAACGAGCATTCGCCGCAGTGGCACGACACTTCAAATTTCCACTAGACAACTCAGCGGCGGCATTGTCAATATCGGAGGCACGTCAGAAAAACAGGACACGACACCAGCAAACGCCAGGACAGAACACACTAGAGCACATTGAGACAATGTTCCCACTCTTCTGGAGACAAAAGGAACTGCTTAAACTTCTCAATGAGGAACAAAGGGAACACCACAGAATGCTCAAGAATCAAACCAGAATGCGACGGAAATTTGAAATTGGAGACCTTGTTATGGTTCGGAAACAAGTACAATCAAACGCCTCTGCAGGAATACCAGCAAAACTGGTGCTAAGAACAAAAGGACCCTACAGAGTCATCGAGAAAGCGTCAGACGACTTGTACAGACTACAAAAGATCCCAGGAACAAGCACCATGCTACAGAAGCGAGGATCGACCCCAATCAAAGAATCAGCATTCAGAATGCACAAGATCCCATCAACAATAATACTTCACAAACGAGTGGGAGTGGACACACCAGATACAAGACTAGCAAACACAAGGAGCCCGCTAGCACACAGCCCCTTGGAAATGAATCTAGGACTGGTTGATTTTGGGAAATACGCGACAACACCGACAGACGCAGAAAACGCATTTGAGCCAATCAAAGACCTTTGGGATGAAGAGGTTGCGCCAACGGAAGATTCATCAGACAAAGAAGAAGACGACACCCCTACACCATCCATACTGGACGCTATCCAACGCACACAGCCTCGGCCAATTAACCGAGACGTACCACCAACAGATACACAAGGCGCCAACCAAAACCATCACAGAAGAACTCAATCTACAGAGCGTATACGAACAAACCACACAATCCAAGGACAAATTATATGTCTTAGCCCATCAAGACAACACATCAGGGTGGAACAACTGGTACGTGATACAAATCGACATGGAGGAGACCAACGAGAAACTAGCAAGAACAAACGGACAGTATCACTGCAAGTGGTACATACCAAAACCCACCGCTACAAAGCAGGGCGCCCCAATGACCAGCCCCTTTTGGCCCCTAATCAAAGAATTTGCCGACGAGACAACATACGGCCCAACAGTACCCATTAGACCCAGCAAAGTAGACCAGGTGCTAAACAAGAGCCCGCACAAATACGCCTGGTACCAGAAAGAGGTCAACATCGTTGAAGATGGCGTGTACGGACCGTTTGATTTTGAACGAGACTACAAAATACCGGATGTGGTGTGGGAAAAAGTGAGAGAGGCGGCACCACAGATGAAACTAAAAGTGGCCAACATCACGCCCAAGTCAACACCACCAGGTAGAGCACACAAACGAGCGCAACACAAACGATAAACACAGCTAACAAGAACAAAAGAATAGACCCAAAACAAACCAAGCCTACAGACAGTATACACCTCAAAAAACCCAACGCTGACCCAAATATGACCCACAATAGCCCCTAGATAGCCCCGAACAAGTGGACCCAAGCCCCAGACCCAAAAGTTACGACGATCTGTCGCAGCAGACCATAGTACCAGGTGACCCAACAAAAAGCCGCCATTGACAAACTACTCCAGGTCGCAGCATGCAGTACAAGTCATGACTGGCAGAGTAGCAGGAACACAAAGCCCCAAAGACTAAGGACCCGATATAGCAACCCCCATACCCCCCCAGAATATGTGTGTACAACGACTAAGATGAGGACTGATCCTGCCGCTCTGACCGTCGTACCGCGAAGCACCTTGTCAAACTTTGGACCTGGACGCAACTGTCAGACACTTGAAGCCGCTCGCCAGCAACCTGGACATTGGAGAGAATCCTGCAGCCCAAGTTGCAATTGAGGGTTAGATGGCAATTTTTCTTTGGCTACCTTGTTCGGTGCCAGCAGCCATTCATCAAGAAGAGGGAGGTGAAAACAGACCAAGATGAGACGATACAACAGAGTTGCCTAAATAGAAGAAGAGGTGACTGACTGGACTGCCGAGTCCTGAGCAGATGTATTAGAGCGATCAAAGGCCAACGGTCATCGCCGAATATTCAGCCCAAGATCAATCTTTCACCATCTACTCACAGCTGCTTCAGAACCCGTAAATACACCCCAACAGCAATATCAATCACCGTCTATCATGACCAACAGTAGCTACATCAACGCACTAGTACGCTCTCTCTACGATGAGAGCCAGGAGCACAACGATAGCACGTTAAGAGCCATGTACATTAGTCACCAGCGCATGTTGATTTCAGACACAATTCAAACTCTTTTCACAACTGTAGGAAAACAACCGAGGTTCTCACAATTGGATCGGTCCCTTCTGCAATGATATCTTGCTTATATTTGATGAAGTCACGTGCCATTGCCACAGCACTTGGTTTTGTGTCATCTCAATATGGAAACTTCTCTATTATCCATTGCTTCCAGAGCGCTCTTTCCAATTCCCATCCAATGAGAGAGGGGAAGTATTTTGATCTCTGGTAGCGCTCTTTGGGGTCCGGTATGATACTTTTTAACTCCAAAGCCACTTGGAAACATTGAAGCCAGCTCCCATAGAATCCCTTAAACAAGCATTCCAGCATGTGTAGGCTGAAATGGAAATCTGCAGGGACAAACGTGACTTGACCATGCAGCTGTTGCAGAATTTCCCTAATCTTTTCCTTGGATTATGTTCTCTTTCCGTTCTCGTCTCGACATCTCAAAAATTCCATGTCAACTTGTTTGAAGAAACTGATTAGCATGTCGGCCTTCAACACATCCCCAGTAACAATGAGATGCCTATCTACAAAATTGGACGGATTGACCCATGCGACGGAGGGGGAAATGAGGGCATCGCCTGGTGCAGTCATTGTCAGGCCCACATGACACAGTTGGCCTCCTCCGTTTGGTGAGGGGAATTGGGCTGTGTTGCGTCGATTTGCAATATCCAATGTGTTGACCTCTTTGTATGTTGGTGGATTTCCCACTTGTGGGAGGTGGTCAAAGCGGGCAAGGCATTCCTCGAGTGCAGGTGTAGAATCAGCCATGAAGGTCTTTTAGGAGTCACCCGAACCGTCTGGCCTTCTTCCGCCACGCGGACAATTAACGGAAAATTCAAAAAGAAGTGAGACACAAGTCCGGAAAAAAGAACGCAAAGTGTTACACATGGACCTACCGGATTGAATTTGAGGCTTGCTGGCTCATTTTGCCGCCAGAAATGTAGTCCCGTGAGGAAAGGAGTCACAAAGACTGCGCAAAGGAGTGAAAAATTGTGAGTCGTAGGGAATTGATATATGTTGCAAGTCGGAACAAAACCAGCGCATACGTAAGCAGAATTCTATTACACCTAGCCAATGAAATCCTTTCTATTTGCATTGGCTTTGACACCTTCTCCCAAGAGGTCCGTTTCATTGGCACCTTTTCTCAAGAGGTCCTTTTATTAGAGTTCCCAAAGACGGCACCAATTTTGCCCAACTTGGCGCTTGGAAGAATGGCTTCTTCTCGGCTACGACTTGTGACGAACGGTTGAGACTAGCACTACCGGTACCTGGTAACCACTCTTCCCCTGTCAAATCAGTCTGTCATAAGAATATTGGGATAATGAGAATAATTGTATGTTTATAGTCTTATTAAAATGCCAATCTATTCAAATGTAGGATTCGCGAGCATGGTGTCTACTTATGATCTTTGATGCAACGGAGCCACGCTGCATTCGTCCAAGACTGTTGAAAGAGAAATTTATTACGCCTCTTTCTGTTATAGGAGTGCTTTCGTTGGTGGCAATGACACATCGAGAGAGCTCAAAGAAGAAGAGGTTGTGCTTGTAGAAAAGGAATACATACCCGTAACGTAACGAATTTTGTTGATTGATGCGTTTCATTCCTAAAATTATCTTGCCAACGTAGAATGGCAGAACCTCAGTCAATACTTCGCAGAAAGAAAGACGCAAACGTAGCTCATTCGTAGAATAACAGGTCGGTGACTTTGCAACGTAGAGCATTTGACTCGTTGACATCTGAACATTGTTTTGGCAACAACAGAATGACAAAATATCGTTCAAAAACTTCGCGGATATGCAGGCCAAATAGACGCAAGGGTAGATCTTTCGTAGAATCATAGATCGTTTACTTGAGTTGGTGGGGTCTCGTTGGTTCGTCAAGGTCTCTTTCCCGTCGGCATCATTGAAAGCAATTTGGAAAGGTC